CAAACATGCAAGACCCTCCTCTTTCTTCCACAAGTGTGACCATGTTCCCACAAATTCCTAATTTTTTTTAAAAAACTAGGAGTCCTAGCTAAGACATTCACTATAGAAACTGTGGAAATGGTTTGTATGTTTCTACTTACAAAAGGATCTTCCTTAACCATCCGTATTTTGGTAGGAGGCCTATGTAGGAGACTTGACCCACTTGTATGTAGATGCCTAAACTTTAACATTTTCCATAAATATGCCTGAATGTCAAGATTACTTGGTGTTGTTCCAACGTTTTCTGGATTTTGCTAATCTTCTTTTGACCTCTCTTCAAGTTGAAAAAATACTAAGAAATGGATGTATTTTTATAAATTAGATAATTTTCAAATATTGTATCATTATATTTTCATAGTTGGATTTGAAGTTTATGAAAAAAAATGAATATATTGCAGAGCTATTGAATAATAGAACGATGAAAGTTTATTGGATTGGAAAGGGTAAGCAATAAATTTGGTAGTTGAAATAAAAATTAAAAAATTCTTTCTCAGATATGAAAGTTGATCGAACAAATTTTCTTGCACAAAGAAAATAGAAAATTAAGGGTAAATGTTATTTTAGTCATTACGAGCAACAGATATTCAAGCTTCTCAATATCAGTGTTATTTGGATGTGGTGCGAAGACATAGGACAAGAATTACTTTGTCTATTTAGTGGAGAAGAGAAGATATAAATATGATGAAAAGTGTGGGCAAAGTGAATGGAAGTTTTATCATGATGAAAACCTATCTAGAGAGTTCTAGAAATAGTTTAATTTATATTTAGGAAAGCTTTAGTATTTACCTAAGTTGTTCCTTTATTTTGAATTCAAAATAATTCTCACTAGGGACGGAGATTCAATGTTGAAGTGAGGCGAAGAACTAAGTTAAAACAACAAGCATAAGGGCGTATTTACACTTGGGGCACAACTGCTTTTCACATCCGATCTATCTGACTTCGCCGGTGTTTATTTAGTGTATGAAATGACCATTGTAATTTTCAAACAATTGGAAGTATATTTGTCTTTTTTCTTTTTGAAATGTGCCCCCATTAGAAAGCACACAAAAATTGTAGTAGTAGTTTTATATTTTACCAAATAGATGGGATGCCACACGATCACCACGACCACCACCACGACCACTTGCCTCATCCTAATCCACCGCCTCATCCTCAAAGATAGAGTAAATCAACTAAAACCAACCAAAAAACTCAGAGGCTTTAGAATAAACCTTGACCTACCTACTTTTCTGCTCTTTACATGATAAAATAAAGATACTTGGCTTTCCTGCCAATGTTGAGAAAGCGAAGGGAAGAGAGGGAAAAGATATAGGTCAACGTTATGATATTGAAAAAGAATATTTAGGTACCATGCTAAAAGGATGAATTGTTCATTAATATTTATGATTCAATTGTAGTTATGTATTGGCTAAAAGGAGAAGGTATTGTATAAAAAATAACTTTTTTGATATCATAGTTAACCTTGAAAATGAGAGGAAGAAAAAAGACGGCAGGTGGTGTATGAGAAAAGACGAAGGAGGCAGTCAAAAAAAGGGCAGATGCAGAGAAGGGAAGAGAGAGAAAGGGGGAAAGAATCATAAAAAGGGGAGTCGGGGTGAGGTGGGAGAAATAAGGAAAATATAGGAAAAAAGTATGAGAGAGAATGGTGCAAAAGACATTTTTCTCTATACAAGGGGTTAGATTGTAGACATTTATCAATTGCTTAGAACTAAAACGAAGTGTGATACAACATGTTGGGTCACCAACAATCATACACTCTCAAATATTAGACCTAAATTTAAAATATAGATAAAGGAACATATCTTTAGGTTAGCGGTGCAACTTGGGCGGGTCAACTCGAATTTAACCCGAGTCCAACCTAAAAAAAATAGGATTTGGGTTGAAATTTTTAATACTTAGATTGGGCCTGCACCAAAAAATCCTAACCCGAATTGAATTCGAGCAGGCTTTGGATTGATGTCTCGAGTTTCCGAGTTCAACCCGAACCCGACAAATTTAAAATATTTATAAAGCATTAGCACTAGGGTTTCATTTTTGCTCTCTACATCAGCACCTCTCTCATTCTCAGCTCCCTCCTTCTCTCAGCATCTCCATCTCTCAACCTCTCTCCATCTCTTAGCCTCTCTCCATCTCTCAGACTCTCTTACTCCCTCTATGTGCTGAAGACCGCAACAATGGTTGCATCTCACCAGCACATGCTAACAGTCACATGCAAGGCACAAAGGATGCACTACAACAAAAATTATTTTTTGCAACGTTTTTTTGTGCGACGAATCTTAAATCATTGCAAAAAAGTATACTATCCGCGACGTTTTAATAATTTTGTCGCAAAAAATGTATTTTTGGGAGTTTTTAAAAAACGTCGCGAAAAGGTGTTTCTCTCCAATTTTTTTTTGGCACGAGAAATGGCGGGAAAATAAGATTTTTTACGACCAAAAATTTTTGTCTCCAAAAGTTTTAATTCGTCGCAAAAATAACGAATATAAAATAAAAATAAAAATAATCAAAATAATTCGCGATATTTTCATTTTTCATCGCAAAATATTAATTTTCCTTATTAAAAATTAATGAAATATTAATATCAATTTGCGACGTTTTTCACAATTCGTCGCCAAAAAAAAATTTATTTTTTTGAATCCAATGTAGTATTTTGCAACATTTTATATTTTTCGCAGAATGTATATTAATTAATTTTAAATTAGACTTAAAATGTTTTTTTGCAACGTTTTTGAAAAACGTCGCAAAAAAGTCATATTCTCTCAAATTTTTTTGGTGTGAGAATGGCGGGAAATTAAGATTTTGTACGACAAAAAATTGGTCGCAAAAAGTTTTAATGCGTTGCAAAAATAAGGAATATAAAATAAAAAATAAAATCAAAATACATAATTCATGACATTTTATTTTTTGTAGCAGAATATTATTTTTCCTTATGAAAGAGTACTGAAAGTTAATGTCAATTGGCGATGTTCCTTAGAATTCGTCGCAAAAAAATAAATTTTATTTTTTTTGAATCCAAAGTAATATTTTGCTATATTTTTATATTCGTCGCAGAATGTAAATTAATTAATTTTAAATTAGACTTAAAATATTTTTTTGCGACGTTTTTGAAAAACATCTTGAAAAGGTCATATTCTCTCAAATATTTTTGGCGTGAGAAATGGAAGGAAATTAAGAATTTTTACGACAAAATATTGTTGTCACAAAAGTTTTAATTCGTCTCAAAAATAACGAATATAAAATCAAAATACATAATTCGCGACGTTTTCTTTTTTCGTTGCAGAAGATAAATTTTCTTTACTAAAGTTTAATGAAATGTTAATGTGAATTAGCGACATTTCTTAGAATTTGTCGCAAAAAAATACATTTTATTTTTTTCCAATTCATAGTAATATTTTCGCGACATTTTTATATTCGTCGCAGAATATAAATTAATTAATTTTAAATTAGACCTAAAAAAATTTTTTGCGACAAAAGTTGTTTCACTCCAAATTTTTTCTGGCGCGAGAAATGGCGGGAAATTAAGATTTTTTACAACAAAAAATTGTTGTCACAGAAAGTTTTAATTCGTCGCAACAATAACGAATATAAAAAAAACAAATAATAAACACAAAATACATAATTCACTATGTTTTCTTTTTTTGTTGCAGAAGATAAAAGTAATTAAAGTTAATGTCAATTGGTGATGTTTTTTACAATTCGTCACAAAAAAATAATTTTTTTTTAATCCAATGTAATATTTCGCGACATTTTTATATTCGTCGCAGAAAGTAAATTTATTAATTTTAAATTAGACTTAAAATATATTTTTGCGACGTCGCGAAAGGGTGATGTTCTCTCAAATTTCTTTGGCGCTAAACCCACACCCCCACAACCTTTCCCCTAAAATTCACCATCACCCCCTCTGTGAAACCCATCGCCTACCCAGATGCATCCACCCACTCAGATGCACACACACACACAGATGCCCAAATGCACACACACAAGCACAGATTCATACATATAGAGAGAGAAATGTTAAAATCAACAACAATATACTCTAGAAACCCAAAACCACCCAACCCACCCTCAACCTCGAAATCCACCCCCACTCCACCCCATCCCCATCCCCGAAATCCACAGCCATCCAATCCACCCCCATCCCCAAAAACCCACCACAACCCAAACTCACCACCACCCAAACCCACCATTACCAACCAACCCCACCACCACTCCCCAAAATCAATCATCACCATCAAAATAGAGAAGGTTGAAAGAGAGAGTGAGAGCGACAGAGGGAGAGGGGGGAGATGGCATCTGGATCCTTCTACTTTGGCTTCTTTTTGTCTTCGTCTGACTTCGGCTTCGACTTCGTCTCTAATAGAGAGAGAGAGACGACAAAGATATGAGAAGTTAAAGAGAGACATGGCCTTTTATATACTCAAACAAAAAAAATCATATTTTGTTGTTAAGGAGGATCGAAGTCCAGACCTCATTAAATGACTAGCGCGTTTTTTTTTTATATTTTCAAAAACATCTTTTTAGATGTTTTTATATTTTAACCTTATTTTTAAAATAGAGCAATTAAAAAAACAAAAACATTCGGCAAACATGTTTTTATTTTTTTTTGCCATAAAATGAAAACAAAAAAAAAACAAAAACAAAAAAGAGGTGTAACCAAATACTACCTAAATGACGACGTTTTTATCTTCGCCGCATAATATAATTTTTGAAAAATTCAGTTTAACGTCGATTTGGGAATTTTTTAAAAAAAATTAAATCAAATCAAATTGTGACACAGTACTCTTATTTTATTTTTGGAAACGCCTGAATCATTCTGTCTCTCTATCGGCGCCCCCTCTGTGTTCTCTATCATTCTCTCTTTCCCCATCTTTTTTTTTTTCCTCCCTGCCAGCTACGTCATACATATCTCCCCATATCTCTCCGCCAGTGAGCCCTAGAACACCGCCAACCATCGAACACAGTCAGCGACGCCATCGAACACTGCCGCCGGCGACATCATCCCAGTTGACACACATAAGTCGACACACAGTACTCTCTCTCCCTCTTTGATTGGGGCTGTGATTAGGAGAAGACAGTGGAAGGCGGTGAAGCCGGTCTTCTCTTCTTCTCCAGTCCAGACGACGCACAGGCACAGGCACAACCAGCAACTCCTCAACTTAGCTCTCGAACTCTCCAGTCCAGACGCACAAGCATTTGATTTGGGTCTGTAAGTCTTCTCTTCTCTTCTCTTCTCTGTCTCTCTGTCTCTCTCTCTCTCTCTCTCTCTCTCTCTCACACACACACACACACACACACAGCCCAACCAATCTGTCTCTACAACATAGAGGAAGGCTGTAAACTAATGTTTACGTCACTATTTATAGCCCAACATAGTTACTAAAACATTACCGTTTGCTACCAAAATTTGACATCAGCCACTAAACAAGCCATACAGTGGAAATTTAATGGTTATAGGTACAGGGTCTTGTGGAAAGGGGGAAAAAAAGAGAAGAAGAGGAATGAAATTTTCCTGAAAATGAATTCGAATGAATTAACTCATATCCCTACATATAATACTCAAACTCAATTAAACAAAACCTTGTACCTGTTACATTATTTCAGTATTAGGGGTGGTTTAATCCTGTTCCATTTTCGCTTTGCACTGCTATGTATCTTTTCCCTTATGTTGTTTCTGCATTTAGTCTGGGCTGATGCTGTGCTGAGGTAGACTGAAGGCATGGAGTTGATCTGTATTGGGGTTTTGCTTTTGCAATAGGATGTTGTTGGTATGTGGCTGGAAGTTAATTACCTTTAATTCTTTTGGAGGATTAAAGCCAGCTCTAGTGGTGTTGCACATCTCTGGGACTGTATGCTGAATAGTGCTGCTTTGCTGCTGCGTTACTGTACTGCAAGAACAGCAGTTGCAATATTTTAAAAAGAAGATTGGAAGAGGTCCAAAGGTTCAGGTGCTGAGCTGTGGCAAGGGGATAGAAGCTGGGCCTTGAGGCCTTGAATATAGTTGTACAAAAATTTACTGTTTTTGCCATGGTAACAGTTTTTTCTGTTTTGTTGATTAAATCAGTTACTGTTTTTTCTTAAAACAGTTTCTGATTGTTGATTCTTGTAATTCTTGAATTTCAATTAATAAAATTTTCCTTTTTCTTAAAAAGAAAAAAAAAAAAAAGCTGCCGATGCTGATAGGTAACTAAATTTTTGAAAATTTACGTAGGTCGCCTAGTCCACAACACCAATGTACGACTCTGTTTCTCTAACTGTGCAAAAACACACACTTCAACACTATCATAGGAATTTTATTCCAGATTATTGTAGACAGTTGCATTGATATTTCTTTTCCATGTATCCTTTTTGTAGGTCTTTCTTGTTGTTGCCGAAAGAAATAGATTCAGCTTTTGATGTTCTCAAGGAAATTTTAAAACCTGTAGTTGATGGAGAGAAAGAGATTCCTTGGCCTCCTAGAGATCCTGAGGCAGTCATTCTCACGAAGAAAGTATGTTATGTTTTCTACTTGGTTGATTTTTTTTTTTTTTTGCCTTGTCAATATTTAGTTCTGAGACTTTCAGGGAAGCTATAATTGTTTAATTGTTCAATAAGATTGAATTTCATGGTAGTGAAAAATTCCAGAATTGATTTCTTCTGCTATTATTTGTATTATAGATTTAGCATGAACCTATGCCGTGTTCCTTGGAACATGCCATATATCATTTGCACCTAATGTGGGTACTTATCCTTTGTTCCTGCCTGGGAATATATCAATTTGTAGCCTGGTTGTTATCATATTCAATTGTTAACGCCGAGGAATGGTACAAACTTGATGTATTATGTTTAGGTAGTACAGAATGTAGTTAGGCAAGCAAGTATTTTTCGGTGCAATCCATGAAATATTAGGTTTTAAAATAGAGACATAACTTATTATTTTAGGGCCTTGAATGATATCTATTACTGTCGAAAAGAGGTCATGTATATTTTAATTCCATTACTAAATGTAATTGATTCATCAAAACAAATAAGCAACTTATTTAGCACAAGCACATAACTTGTCAGAAAAAAGAAAGCTAGTACAAGCGTCCATGCTGATGAGAGACAAGGTAGGATGTGCCCACCGTTCGTACAAGGCACACTTTTTAGTTTTAGTTACGTTGGGTTCTTTTTGATTATAACACAAGAACTGGGTAGGGGGAAGACCGAAGACATGATCATCTAATTGATGGTTGATTGAAAAGGGACATCAAAGAGGCCATTGGTCCATTGGTTTTTTTTTTTAGTAGACTTTCTAATTGGTACATCTTGTGTTCAGTTTCTCGTGTCATCTTTCACTAACTATCAATGTGTTTACAGATGATTGAAAGTAGTGACCAAGGTGACGAATATGGAGTGATCTTTTAACTTGTAGGCTTAAAGTTATTTGTTGTTCTCAAAATAGAATACTCATCTTTGTTTTTTATTCTCTCACTCTTTTTGATTGCTGCTGGGGAAGGTATTTTTGGGCCCACCCTCCTTGTTTGATTAATTAATATTCGTTTGGTTAAGCTCTTGTTGCTGGTTTTAACCATTGTTCTATGATGGCAGAGCACCGTAATGTTGAATTTGAATAACCGTAATCTGTTGAGGAGCCGTAGTCGCACAATATTTACACTGGTATGTGCGTAAACTTCATGTTCTGATTTTTATCATTCATGATTAATACTAGTTTTTGTAATAACTAATAGGCTGCTCAGATTATCTTGCTTGTTAATATGATGAGATAAATTGTATGTTGATTTGAAATTGATAAGACTCCTCCACATAGGATTGAAATAGCACAGTTAGACCAATGAGTGATGTTTGTTGAACCAAGAATTCTCTTGAAGTTGAGGGGCACAGACGAGTTGATAACATAGGGTTGCAGATGAGTTGACATCACTTGCTCCTGTAGATGTGAGTCTTTGAGGTAGACTCCAGAGTAATAATTCAGAAATAGTTACTACATTGGTTCAAATATTTGCGACGACTTAAGCCTCTTTCTTAGGGCGTTTAAAGAGCGTTACTTTTTAAGTGTAAATGTCACATTATTGGAAGTTTTTTCTATATAGTTTCTTTTGGAAGTAAAAAAGGCATGGCCTCATGGACTAATTAGGATGGAATCGATTGGCACAAGATCAAGTCCATCAAAGAACACTGTGAAGAGATCTGGAACTTGTTTGAATATACCAGAAACTTGTATGGAATAAAGTAAATTGTAATTAAAAAAAACAGTCATGAAAGCAGATAATAAGATAAACCATAATTAACTAACAAGAAGCCAATAACTCAGGTGATTCTATATGCAGTCAACTTTGCTATCACATATTGCTTAACCTTGTCAATTTAGTTGTGTTAGCTGCTCATTAACGCATTGTTCTATTGCAGTATGTGGCTATGCCCTTTTGTATATACTTCTCTTCTACTTTTTCTATCCATTTTTCATTTTCACTCTCGGCATTAAGCATTTCTTCACTTGAAATGCTTGCTATCACTAATGAGAGTTCAATATCTTTTGACCGGTAAGTGTCCTAGGCTTTGTCGACTACGCTGCCCTGATGAATTTCCCACAATTCTAGAAAGTGTTGATCTACTATCCTTCTCGTTTTCTTCAGTTTCATTAGCCTCTAATGTTCTTGGAGAAGTTCCTTCTCAAGATAACCGGTTCATCATATTAGACTCTATTTGTACATTTTTCAACTAGATGTTTTGAATCATCCTGACTAGATTCTATGTATTTGTAACATTTCGGGTTCACAAATTATATATCCTGTATTTTCAGAACTAGTCTTCTTAAAATGTTCGAATTTTGTGACATCCAGACTTTGTTTGCATCGACGTTTCACAGATCAAAAGTTCCCTAGTTGACCATTATAGTGATTTATATGACTGGTAACTCATTGTAACTAGAAGTTTTGATCATTTTCTTGCCAGTACAAGCCAAAAGCCCAAAATCTTGGCTGTGCATACTGTCCAATCTTAAAGGTTACCTTTTTTCAGTCTTAATCCAGCAAAATGAGATGTTCAATTCTGTACACAGACAGATGGGTCAGAACCAGCTAACCCTTGGGCCCTTCCTCAAGAGTTGATAGCATAATTTAGCCAAGAGTTTGGTTAATAAGTTTGGTGAACATGAATTCACAGAACTAAACAGTGGACTAATGAAGCTGCTGGTTTGATTAACATCCCAAAATCAAAAGCAACACCCAAAAGATAAATATTTTTTCGAAAACTAAAACGATGTCAAAAAGAAACCATTATATGTTAGGAAGAGTAAGCTTCCACAGTCTACCAACTACAGCATTTTTCGAAAGACAAAGCATACGATAAGAGAACCATAGCTGAGAAGAAATTTTTGGGTTATGTGAGAAGGTCTTTGTTTTACTTCAATCGTAATTGGCTAAGTCAATACCCGAACCTATTTCCTTTGCAGGATGATGCTTCTTTGCCAACACCAAAGAGCAAGGATCATGTAAGGTGCATTCTAGACTTCTTCTCTTGGTTACCATGGTAGTACATAATGCTGAAATATCATTGTCAGGTCTTGTATTTTAGGTTAATATTGTGTAGTGTGTTGTGACTTTACATTAAGAAACATGAATGCAAATTAGAACTATGGAGGACAGGGTATGCAAATTAGAACAATAGTTAGCAGGATCACTATCACAACAACATTTGCTTTTAACTATGATGTTTTGATGCTGTCAGTAACTTTAGTCAGATTTGAATTATTTTGTTTTTTGGGCAATACATCCATACTGCCTTTTTTTATTGAAGTTTGGAGTTTTCTTGAGTAGAATTCTATGTATGGGTTGTCTCATTTAAGAGATACTGTGTTGATGCAGTCTGTTGAAGGAATGAAGCTTGTGTGCCATGATCTAGCAGAGGCAACCAGTGATCCCAAAGGTAGTGCTATGGATGATATTGTCAAAGATGCAGATCATCTTGTTTCTTGCTTGGCAGATAAGGCTAGAACAGATCCAGTTTAACCTTTTTCTGTTGGAATGCTCCTTCAATCAGCTCATCGCTATCATATTTAAAATTATTGTAAACAGTTTTTTTTTTTCTTTTTGCAGCTTGCCAAGACTTTTGACTCTAGTCTGACGGGTGCCTCTTCATGATCTTGTAAATATGTCCTGAACACACTCATGCAAGAAATTTGCTATCCACTTCTTTTTTTGTCGTTTTTCTCTTGTTGCTAATAATGAAAACTAAAGCCCAATTTTTAAAGAGCTATTTTAATTCTTATTTTTTTTGTGTTTCTGTTTCAGACATTTCAAAATAAACAGGTAGCCCATGGTGTCTAGGAGAGTACCCTCAAAAGTCTTATTACTGAGCTCTTGGTTTGGCTTTTTGATGAAAGGGTTCCCAGGATGGACGATTGCAGCCAACTTCTGCAAGCTTTGAATGTTCTGATGCTGAGATCCTGGTAACATTGATCTCCAAAATGCATCTTTTTTAATTGCTATCTGTGTGTGAATTACATCTTTGTTGAGCTTAGAGATGGTATTTCAAGGCATGGAGCTGGACTGCTGAAGCTGTTTAAGTATTAGAGACATTAAATGTAATTAGAGATGGTTTAAATCCTCTTGAACGATTAAAGTCATTTTTTCTATTTTTAGAACTTCTTGTTCTTTGATTTTTGTAATTCATTCTTTTTGGAAATAAAATTTTGTTTTCTAAAAAAAGATGTAAAATGTATGTTGAATGGACAAGATGTGAAATGTATCAATTGTGTTAGATTTTTATTGAACACAAGTATTATTGGTGTACATGTAAAAATTTTATTGGAATAACAGTTTTTATGAATTATTTTTTTAAAAAAATGAACTTTTTTGAGACAATTAAAATCGTCCAGAAAAATTATAGGAACCATCTTTTTCGCGACGATTTTAATTCGTCGCAAATGTATTCATTCAATTATTATTTACATTTTATATTTATGTAAAAACCTATTTGCGACGAGTTTTTTACGTTGCTAACAATTAATTAAATTATTATTTATTATATTTTTTTGTAAAAAATTATTTGCGATGATTTTTTTAGGTTGCTAAAATGAATTAAATTATTTTTTTACATTTTTTTTTAAAAATTATTTGCGACGATTTTTTTACGTCGCTAAAAATTATTTAAATTATTTTTTTACATTTTTTATTTATGTAAAACAATATTCACAACGATTTTTTTAAGTCGCTAAAAATTAGTTAAATTATTTTTTTGCATTTATTATTTATGTAAAAACTTATTAGCGACGATTTTGTTACGTCGCTAAAAATTAATTAAAGTATTATTTTTTACATTTTTATTTATGTAAAACTTATTCGTGACGACATTTTTACGTTGCTAAAAATTAATTAAATTATTATTTTTTATTTTTTAAGTTGGTGGAATATATTTTAACTACGTTTTTTAAAATATTAGCGACGTTTTTTTTCGTCGCAAATTTTTTTTTTTCGAGGATAATAAATTTGCGTTACAAAACACTTTCTGCGACGAGCCTATTGCGACGAACACGCGATGAAAAAAAAACCGTCACAAAAAATAATTGGCGACGATTTTTTTTTTAATTTAGCGACGAAAAATATCATCACAAAAAATAATTTTTGTTGTAGTGATGGAGTCAGGTGCGAAGACTGAGCTCCAACCCCGAATAGCTCAACCATATTCCTTATTTTTCGATCAAACTAGTTCGAGGTATTTGGGGAAGGAAGTTCTACATTCCTTGCCACCTAATTTGAAAAGAAACTATAAGGCTCCAACAGTAACAGGAGTCAGGCCTATAAAGGGGAGAGAGTATTTGCTTCGAAGGTAAGCAACTTTTTTCCCAACTGAAAACCATTTTCCATATCAAACATTTACTAACTTTATCATTTGATGATCGACCATCGAAGCCCTTTCAATTCTGGACTTCTGTGCAGGTACTCGTCGGTGATTGCCAAGTCATCATCTATCCTAGAGCCCTTTTTGGGATCAACAGTTGATTCCGTATGTGGGAATCAACTTGATTTCTAACATTAAATCCAAATTTCATGGCGATCACAAAAGAGCATCCAAGGATCCTACAGTCGATCAGACGCAAGAACGTCCTAACTCCCACACAACGGGGCGAAGGAATGCGCCCCCACCAGAAAAGGAATCCGCAAAGGTCAAAAGATTGAAGAAAAATAATAGTTGGCGCCGTCTATGGGAATCGGACTTGATTTCCGATATTAAATCCAAGTCCCATGGCAATCACAAAAAGCATCCAAGGATTCTACAGTCGATCAAATACAAGAACGTCGTAACTCCTATACAACGGGGTGAAGGAATGTGCCCCCACCAGAAAAGGAATCTGCAAAGATCAAAAGATTGGAGAAGGTCACACGCACACAAACACACAAAGTATATAACACGCACACAGAGTGTAACACACAGACACATACCAGCACACACAACACATTGGTTTAATATTTTGGGTGTTTTGTATTGGTTTAATATTTGTGAAAATTGGGGTTAAATTCTTTTGGATGGACTTCTAATGACTTGAGTCCGTCAAAGAAATTTATTTAGTGATAAGTCTGTTTTTTATCTTACTAATAAGAACTTAAGTCTACTATTTTCTAAAATTCCAATAATATTTTTATCAGTGTTATTCTGTTCAATTATAAAAACCTTAAAATCTTGAAAGTAGCTTTAAATTAATTTCTTAAATTAGAATTTATTATCCCTTAATTCTCTCATAAATTGAAATTCAAATTTATATTCTCTCTCTCTTTCTTTAGAAGAAAATCATCACTCTAGTACAACAAATTTTTTTCCTTAGATATCACTTCTTCTTCCATAACATCAAAATCAGTAGGGTTTGAAATATCATCAACAACTATCATATCTTCTACTGCGTTCTGGTTATCATGAACTTCTATGACGTTGGTTTTAAGAAAAAAATGGTTGAAAAACTTGCTCATTGTGTTATTAGTTTTGTTCCCAATTTTTTTTTGTTTTGTTGAAAAATAATCCCCAAAATTTTTCAATACTTCATCTTACTACGTTTTTTGTTGATTATTTTAATATTTTTTCTAATTGACCGTATTACTATTTTTTTTCATGTTATTATTTTTTATTGAACATGTTATTAATTTTTCAGTGTTACTTTTTTGGATGGTGAAGAATTGGAGACTTTTTCATTTGATTATGAGTTTGAATACTACTATTTTTATTTTCAATTTTGTTCAATGTTCCATATTGCTTTTTTTTTTTTGGTTGAGCATGTTACTGTTTTTGTTAAGTATGTTACTATTTTTGTTGAACAAGTTACTATTTTTGTTGAACATGTTACAATTGTTATTTTTTAAAAATATTATTATTTAAAGTTACTATTTTCTTATGGTTAAATGTTACTATTTTTTTTTGTTTTTAAATGGTATTATTTTTTGTGTATTTTTTATTTGAATGTTACTATTTTTTATTTTTAATGTTACTATATATGAGAGAGAGATATAGTCCTAATTTATATATCGATATAAATAGATATGAGAGAGAAATTTTTTTTAAGTTAATCAAACACCTAAGATTTAAGAGTTTTTAATTTTTAATTTATTTCACTTCTAAAAAGAAGGGATAGTCTGGTAAAATTGACAAAAAATAGATTTCATAACAAATAAGTTCTCTTGGTGGATTTAAATTCAAGTAAGTCCATATAGGGAGACCGGCCTCCAAAATTTCCTTAATATTTTGGGTGTTTTGCATTGGTTTGATATTTTTGGGTGTTAGTTTGGGTGTTTTCTCATATTGGTTTGATAAGGTTTGCAAGAAATTAATTTGGAAAATTATAGTTGTTAGTAGCATTTTTTTTTTTATTGAATGTTAGTGTTATGGTTTTGAAATTTAATGTTAGGATTATTTTGATTGCGTTTAGGTTTTGATTTTCAAATTGTGTAATTGGAAGTCATGTTTGCGATTGAATGTTTGGGGTATTTTGATAGAAGTGGGTTGGATCAATGATGGTGGTTTGATTGGATTGGTTTAACAAATTTGGTTTCATTCTCCATTTTGTATAGATTTGTAAATGTTTTACTAATGTAATTATTATTCTTTGAAACTGTAACCATTTTTCCCTCATATCCCATCAATTTGATTTCTGTTGTCGAACTGCCTTGCAGATTTTGTGTTGTATGATTGTTGAAAAGAAGTTTGCAATGTTTGAGACGAAGAGTAACCTCATCCAACCCCATTCCAAACCTTTCCTACAAAGGTTGACGTTAGTTTCTTGTACTCTTTCGTACAAATTTTCGATTAATTGAATTAATATGGTAGTGTTTTGTTCTAGCAGTGATAGAGTTAAAGTGGGATGCACAGGTATGCGATGAATCAACTGATAACATTCATGATGTTTAGAGTGGAAACAAACATTTGGTTTGAAGTGGTTGCAGTAAATAGGTGAAGAGTGATTCTTTCATGCCACGAATTTTTTTAGAACTTGACTATATTGGTTGGACAAAGGAAGGATCACTTACTTCTCTTAGCTCTTTCATTAGCTGTTTAGTGGATATTTCCAATGTTTTTTTTTTTTTTTGTAAATTATAGCTCATGTTTAATCAACTATTAAGTTTTTTTATGGATTGTTTTGCATTTTGAAGTTAGATACGTGCATGAAGGAATTTGTTGGATGATTTGGTTGGCATTTAGGATTTTTAATTTAAACTTTTGATTTGGTACCCACGTGCGCGTGTTATTAATCATCCTAATATGAGCAAGCAAACCCACAATTCTCTTACTCTTTTTTTTTTTGGTTACATTTTGGTTTTTTGTTTTCAGTACAAAAAATGGCACACCAACACACACATGCTATACGTACATCCAACACCTACAACACAGCTGAATGGGTTTGGTTTGAGTTCAATTCCATTTCGTTTTTAGATGAATTTCATAATTTTTAATTTCGTAAGCAGTGGCCTTGCTTAATTCATGTGTGCGTTTACAGAATTGGGTAAGCAGTGGCCTTGCTTAATTCATGTGTGTGTTACAGAGCCTAATTCATGTGTGCATTAACAGAGCCTAATTTTATATTTTCCAAGTTATATTAGAGGAAAATATGGCACTTTTCATATGTTAAGACAACTAGTGTTGAAAACTATGTTGGGCCTTTGTGGAGTCTACTTTCCTGAAAATTCGTGGATGTAGATAAATTGCCGAACCAAGTAAAATTTGTGTGTTTTGTTCTTTCTTGTTTCTTATTGTTTTATGCTCTTGGTTTGTTCTTCGATTATGTGCGTTTGTCTGTGGGTTTAAAGCGTATTAAATCCTAACAAACTAATCTTAGTAGAGACAAACATTTTAAAATATGAAAATGCCTCAAAAGAGTTCTATGACCTCACAGTGCTAATTTTATACGTTTTGCATTACACTTAGATGCTTTTCAGGTATATTTTGATCGAGTCAAAATGTACTTCAGTGATTAATAGGATTGTTACTTATAGTTTATTGTCAATCTGAGTAGCATAGGAACTTCTTCAAGCTAGAAATCATTATATGGGCATCAGATTAGAGTAGTTGAGAAAGTTCTCTCTCTCTCTTCACTCCCACATACACACAGTCAAACACACACATCACCGCACAACCCCAATTTTCTTTCTAATTTGTTGTTGTTTAATTCTAGGAAAGTAAATTACAAACATGAACAACATTAAATTTTAAATTCTCTCATCTCTAAACTTTGAACACAATCTGTGTTATTTGACAATTTTTTTCTTTTTTTTCAACATTGAAATCTATCTTCTGGTTTCTCTATTTTTACTAAAATTTTGTTCTTTTTAATAAATTTCTCTAATTGTGCTAATGTATTGACCTTTTTCAACTACTCACGTTGACATGTTTGACATCGTGGCTATAAAAGTTGTAAGATTCTTTTTTCAACAACTTTTATTTCTCAATACATCGATTTGACTATATGTATTTTATTTTGTTGGAGGGATAGGTTGCCGAAGAGATTGGTTTTATGTGAATTAACTTGAAGATTGGGTAATGGTGCCATTGCCATATTTTTTGTGTATGCTCTAGGTGTTGGATTTTTGTTTATTTGGTTAATGTGGAAATCTTTAGGTCAAAGGCACAGTAGGAGCTAGCATGGCATCCAGTTTGAGAGGTAATATTTGTGTTTAGAAGTTTTCATCCAGTTCGTTTGAAACTTTGGATGCTCTACAACTATTGAGCATAAGTTTTTTTTTCTTTTTCTTTTTTTTTCTTTTTTTTTTTGAATGTAAATGATTTATTGTACATCCGGTCATTGGCCAATGTAGGACTTTAGAGTTCATCCAACATTTAGATTTCATAAGCCAATGTAGGATTTTATTGAATTGAAGGTGGTTGGCGGTCATTGTAACAATGAACTTAGTTGTTTAATATTGGAAAACAAAGCTAGGATTAGGTTTTCATTGAATATTGAATGATACATGTAATATGGTTGACATTTTCATGTTGGATAGAAGTTGACTGCATATGTAATCCTCCTCGCCCTATGCAAATGTGTGTGTATTCTTCATTAGTATTTTTTTGGATAATTATGTTGATTTCAACTGACGAGAAAAGCAAAGGGCCATAGGTTTCAAATTTTTTGTTTATGTTCAGTGTTTAATTTTTTTTGAGTCCACAATCAATGTTTGATTTTTTTATGAATTGTATGGTACATTTAGGTACAGTTTATCGCTCTCTATAATAATAAGACACGACCTAAATTAAATCAGTTAAAACTTAGAAATACTTAGGCGCCATTACTCACACATGAATTTGTGCATGCTCTCCTTGATGTTTATGACCGACCAACTAGATTGAGAATCAATGATGATGTACGACATTAATTTTCTTCTTTTATTGTGTTCAAGATCAATGTTCACTTTGTTTGAATTACATCGTGCTTTCAGATACGAGTTAAAGTTTATTCCAATTAGACATTTGTGTGGTGATAATTCCAAGCTCCAAAGAAGATGATGTTGAAGGAAGTTCTTTATGTCGTCGTACACGTGTGTAGTTTGCATGTGTTTGGTTTATTCTGTGTTTAGTAGGGCAAAATAATTACACATAGTTATGATGATATGTTTGGTTTTGATGTGAATTGATGGTTGGGTATAGAATTTTGTTGTGATGTATGATGATTGTGGTGGAAATAGAATTGAATTGGGGTGTTACGAGATATTATTATAATTGTTATGTATGATGGCGAGTTTTGTAGACATATTAAAATCTTTTCTGAAAAATTAGTGGGGATTAGATTATTTTCAATTAATTTAATTGAAACAAATGATGTAAAAATTATTTCAAATTTATGGTTTATTTTAGGTTGCAAAGTGCCTTTAGACACAATTGTATTCTTCAAGTTTTAATTCAGGTTTTTGTTATTTCGTGCCTTCAGACACAGACAATTACTAGTAATTTAATAAGAACGATGTTATTAAATAGTGAGACTCACCTTCCAAAAAATAAATGAGATTAAAAAATTTGAGATTGATACTAAAAAACTTGGCAACAATCTTGAAAATTTAGGTTTATTTCCCTATCTTAGTCACAACTTGCCTTGTTTGAATATAACCATCTGTGTTAAATTTTCACTGGGGCTATTGTATTAAAAGACAAATAAAAAGGAAAAAGGAGAAGGGTAAGTGGAGGAGAACCTCCCCCTTCCAAGCCCACTAAATCTTATCCTTCCAAAAGTGAAAACATGGATGTAAAGGACTTTACCTCTTTTTCCATATTTGGCATTTGGGGAAGAGAGATATCATGCGGTGAAATTCACTTTTCCAAGTATGAAATGTTTTATGGATTTTAAGAAAGAGAAGATTGTTTTTTAGAGGCAAATAGAGAGAGGGAGAGAGAGGGAGAAATGGGTTCTTCAAGGGTAAGAAATTTTTTTAAAGAGAAAGAGAAACAGAATAAAATGTTTTTATTTCACCAATAATAATATACTGACTAAATTTTGGGACTAAATTAAGAGTCCAAATGACATGACAGCTGACTTGATCTTCTTTATGTGATGTCATGTCATTTGGACCCTAATAAAAACTTTAAATAATTAGGTGTCATGTCATTTGAACTCTTAATTTAGTCCCTAAATTTGGTCAGCGTAGCATTATCCTTATTTCACTTTACTTTGTATTAGTAAAAAGGAAACAAATTTTCAAAAAGTATTTAAACGTGTTCGACATGTATTCTTTGTTTGCCACTGAAAAATGATTTCATTTAGAATTTCATTCACATTCTTTTAAAACCTCACATGACATGTACACATTTGCAAAAATTAGAATTGAGGTTTGTATTAGTACCAAATTGAAAAAAGTCAAAAAAACTTTATTAAATTAAAATTGAAATGATTTGCATAAATCAGGGCCAATAATAGTTTGGATAAATCTCATTTTGCCAATGAAAGATATTCGTTTGGTCCTCTATTTTGTATCAAATCAACTAATCAAGAATTACAAAACAAACAGACAAATAAACGAAAATAAAATGATGGACCACATTATAACGTTTTTATTTATTTGAGGAGACAATATAAAAATATTAATTATTCAAATGGTAAATTGAGAATTTTAATATCTTTCTGGGGCAAAATGAAATTTACACTAAAGGTTTTGGATCTTTTGACTCCTGTATATAAGTTTGTGCATCCCACCACATAGGAGGCCACCGTCCACCGTTTCCATTTTAACGAGAGAGAGAGAGAGAGAGAGAGAATGTCGTTTTTCTCGTTATTACCGGAAGGTTGTATAACAGACATCATATCATTTACATCACCGAGGGATTCTTGCAGAGCGTCGGCGATCTCACCGACATTCAAGTCGGCAGCCGAGTCCGACATCGTCTGGGAGAAGTTCCTGTCGATTATCAGGAGATCATATCGAGGTCCGTCTCTCCGGTGGTTCACTCCACCAAAAAGGAACTCTACTTTCTCCTCTGCAACTCTCCTATCCTCCTTGATGAAAGCAAGCTGGTAAGGAACTCAATCACGCTTCTACTAAATTTTTGCTACTTGCTTATTGAATTCTCTGTATGTCTGTTGGTAAAATTTGTGTGTGAGCGCAATAAGATCTTATTAGTTTTTAATCAATTTCAAAATTTGGTAACTTTGATCAAGTCGATTATTCATTGTGCCTTGTTCGTGGAATTCAATGGGTTTCTATGGGTTAGAAGAAACAAGAAATGCACCGTTTCCAGTTATGATGGTGGATTTGAACCTAGTTGAGCGCATTTCAAATGCAAATGGGCTTGAGACATGAATAAATAAACAGACTTTTGTTTCTTGTATATTTGATCTTGATTCCTAATAGCGACCTATGTCTGCTGAACTGTTTGTAGTTAACGATTTTCAGTTGTTACGATGTGCTTACTCTAGTTCTTTGAAGACCAAGAGGTCCTTTAAGAGTAAACCATCACAACGGTAGAAATTTTCCATTCTATCGAGGGCATAGAGCAATGCAAAACCCAAAATGAGATGATGTTGTTTTTTTTCCTAACTGAACTTATTTCTTACATATTACCTATTTTCTAATAATGCAATCTTTATAATTGTTCATAAGCAGAGCTTCACGCTAAATAAATGGAGCGGCAAAAAATGTTATATGCTTCGAGCAAGAGAGCTTTCAATTGCGTGGAAAGATGGCCCACAGTACTGGAAGTGGACGTCTTTGCCTGAGTCAAGGTCGTCTCTCTCCCCGTCCACCTATTTGTTTATCCGTGTATGCATTGATGAATGACGTACATACATTTCTAAATGTCCAGATTTTTTGAGGTGGCTGAGCTCCGGGCCGTGTGTTGGCTCGCTGTTGGAGGCAAGATGCAAACTCAGATGTTGTCCCCAAAGACCACTTATGCAGCTTACCTTGTCTTCAAACCAGCAGAAAATTCAAGGGGCCTTGAAGTGCCTGCAAAAGCTTCAGTTAGATTTGTTGTGGAAAGCCAAGATGGGGCTAAAGATTCGAACGATGCAGTTCACCTGAAATTGGCGACAGATAGACCTGAGCATTTACGAAGGTTGGGTAGGCGTGCAGCTAGACAGCCTAATGGTCGGCTTCGGCAGAAGAGAGGGGATGAATGGATGGAGATTGAGCTCGGGCAGTTTTTTAATGATCATGGAGATGACGGTGAAGTGGAGATGCAATTGAAGGAGATCCAACAGCTTAATTGGAAGACAGGCCTCATTGTCGAGGGCATTGAGCTTCGGCCTAAGGAGTAAGATTGAATTAAATGTACAGATTTAATACCTTTCGATGCAATACACAGTGTATTAATGCAAGACTCATTTATATACAGTTGATAATATTTGAATTTATTATTGATGTTTTATTACCTAAATAAACTAGTAATTACTCGTGTCCGAAGGTATTACGTTACTCGTAAAAAATTATAAATATTTTTTCATAAATAAAGGCAATGTATAATACAATTTCAAGAATATAACGATTAAATTGATATTGTTCAACATGTATGCAAAACATATATAATCAAATTTTTATATAATGAAAGCCACGCTACAACTACTACAACATATTAATTAAAAATTTTGAGAAAATATAATTATTATTGGTTAAATATCCACAATTTTAACATTTATAATAAACTTTATCTCAAATTTCAAAAAAATATAACTATTTGTTTATCTACAGGTTCCTACCTAAAGTTCATAACATTATTTCTAAATCATTTTTCTAATATCAATTTGTGTAACTTTTGTGAGGAAAACATTCAAAAGCTTCATAAAAATTTTTGTAGATGTACAAAATTTTGTTGAGTAATTAAAATCAGTTTTCATTTGAGTTCAACCTAAATATTCATAAAATTCAATCGAATTTAAGTTTGGATGTGACTATTCCCACCCAATTTAATTTCTCATTATCAAACTATTAAGTTCACTCCTTCTATATTCACCCAATTAGTAACTAAGTTCACCTGTGCTACATACACCCCGTTTAATAAGTAAACTTAACTTATATTTTGTCATAATTAGGGTTTCATTCTCTATTTCATCTGATGCATTCACAAAAATACTTTTTAATATGAATTTTTTTCAATGAGATACATGTTAGTATTACTTTTTAATTTAATTATATATTTGATTTTATGTTTGTTGTATGAATTTTTATTATTTTTGGTATATTTTGATATCTCTGTCAAGTTTAATAATTTTTTATTTAGAATGTATATGTGTGTGTATATCTATATATATGATTTTCAGATTATTTGTTATTTTTTTAATCTTGTTTAGGTTTTGTATCTATACTTCTTTTTTTTTTTTCATGTCTGATTTTGCGTCTTGTGAATTCACGTTTTGTAGTTTTACTTGTTCCTTTAAGTTTTGATTGGTTTTTTTATTCCTTCGTGTATTTCGGTTTATTTCTTTTTTTTTTCTTTATTTCGTTTTTTCTTTTTAAAAAAGATGTATGTAGCATGAGGTGGATATAAAAAAGGTAGACTTAATAGTTTAATAATGAGAAATTAAATGGGGTGGGAATAATTGCACTCTTTAAGTTTTAGCAAGAATTTATCATTTATATACGTGAGTCAAATTCAGTTTAATTTGAGTCTTAATTATAAGAGTAATGCTACATTGACCAAATTTGGAGCTCAAATGACGTGAGAGTTGATTATTTGAAGTTTTTATTGGGATCCAAATGACATGACATCAATCAAAGAAGTCTAAGTCAACTGTCATGTCATTTGGACTTTAAATTTGGTCCCAAAATTTGGTCAGTCTAGCATTACTGTAATTATAATTACGTCAAACCGAGAATTGAATTTAAGTTTGACTCAATTAACACTTCTATCTTAAACCTACAAACTAATTTTAATTATCATGTTCACTGTGATGTCATAACTTCTTTATTTTTTAATTTAGTTATTTTTTATTATTTTTACATTCAATTTCACTTTGATTGTAAAAATAATCATAATCGCTTTAAATTGATAATCGAGTAAAATAAAACTTGGAGGAGGAATTTCGATCATTTGATCAATAATCTTAAAAGAATCTAAGCCACAAAAAATTCAAGACAAATAATGATAGCCCCCTTAGTATATAGATATATCACATTATATAATTTGATAATTATAGTATTTTATTTCAATACAAAATATGACTTATATTATAGTCATTCTACTCATTTTGACGCAAAGAATATTTATTTAAGGTCCATTTTTTTATTTAAATTTTTTAAAAATAATATTTAATTAGAATCATAATTAACGACTTAATTAATGTATAATATGAGATAGAGAGTTATAAGAGAAATATAAGTCTTAGAATTGTGGAATGAATGAAAGTCTTATTCAAAATATTGGGGGAGAAGACTTTTCATTTTAGGACCGTAAGATCATTATTTCTTCAAGTGATCTGAGCCGCGAAAAGCTAAAAACAAAGGAATCTTGCTACTTTATTATATAGATTGTTTATAATTCTCCACCTTCAATTTTTAGGATAAATTGCATTAGAGATCCAAAAAATGTGGAGTTGTCTCATCTTGATCCACAATATTTAAATTATATTATTTTAGTACTTAAAGTATTGAATATATTTTTATGTGATCCTTCAAATAGATAACGTTCAGATTGCTAACAATTTTTGATTATAAACTTGTCATATAATACCTAAACATGGACAAAAAAATAAATTGTATAACTCTTAATTAAATTTTTACTCAAAATTTTGTCAATGAGTTACTCAAATTATACAATTTTGGTTATGAGATATCCAAAATTTGGTCAAGAGTTATTTATATTACATATTTTTAGTCAAGAGTTACCCAAATTTTACTCAAATTATTTTTTGCCCATATTCAAGTAATCACGTGACAAATTTATGATAAAAATTGTTAGTGATTTAGATGTTGTCTACTTAAGGGACCACATTGAAATATATTCAAAACTTCAGAGATTAAAATAATGTAATTAAAATATTATGGGCTAAAATAAGACAAAATTTACACTTTAAGGACCTCTAATACAATTAATCCCAATTTTTAATTTTCTAGTGTTGTTTTTATTATGCTTCAATAGGATTCAGATTTACAACCACCCTCATGCTCAACAATAGCATTGGCAGGCCATCTCCCTCTCTCGCTCTCTCTCTCTCTCTCTCACACACACACACACATCAAGCTTGCTTTGTCCGTTCGACAAAGACACCTTTGCTCCGCCTAAAAGAAAGAGGAGGGAGACTTGTTAATCTCCCCAACATAGTCATCAATAAATCTTACGAAAAATTGTCTCATAAATACCCTCATACAGGATTAGGAAGGAATTTGCTGAATTGTACGTAAATTAACTCAGTCACCCCTAACCGTTGAACTAAAAAAAAAATTATAAAGACACCACTTGCCTATAGGTCGCAAGTATAAACAAACAAATCCTTTTTTTTTTGGCTGGTGTAAATTGAGATACATGGATAAGAAAGACTCGTAGAACTAACTATACTGTAATATTAAGAAAAAGGAGATACGCCTGCCCTTTCTTGTTCCCCAGTCCCTCTTTCTTGAAGCACTATGTTGGTTACCGCATGTGGGAGTTGTGGTGGCAATATTGGGCCTTCACGCTTGGTGGCTAATCCCCATGATTCGCACTTTTTCGTGATCGGATTAATATTATACACCCAAGTATAAGTGGTCGAATTGTAATTTTCTTGATTTTAAGTCCAAGTATCGATCCCACGAAGAGTGTGTGTAATTAAGAAATAAAATAAAAATAGTAAAATTGTTTATCTTAGATAGGACAGCATGTGATAGCTTGTGGTGTGAGTTTAGGTAGATAACTAGTTTAATTAAAAAATTATGTTGCATATAGATTTAGACAATAATAAAAAGTATCCTTTAGTTCAAGGATCTCATATGCATTATATTAGTTAAATACTGGAAATGTTATCTTACAACAATCAACTTTTATGTTACTGGCAAGTCAACTAATCGGTCTGATGTATATAATCCATCACACAAAAACTTCTTAGGTTAACTGGTGGTATCCATGAAAATTGATTAATCCAAGCAAACCAAAAGGACAAGTCATTCATGAGGAATACTTAAATTATTCATTTGTCTTCATAATAGTAGGTGCATACATAATAAACCATAACTCAACCACTTCTTAGGGTAACTGGTGGTATTAGTCATAACACAGCAACTTCTTAGGTTAACTGGCTATAGATGTATCAATTGACTAATACGAGCAAACCAGAAGGACAAGTCATTTATGAGGAATACTTGAATTATTCATTTGAATCTATATGTGATACATATACCAATTAAACATCCTCAGCGTTCCGGTGGAGGATAAACTATACCTATAGGAATGTCGTGATTATTAGACTAGAAATATTATTATTTATACCAGTTAAATGATCTGAGTAATCCAGAAGGACAAGCCATTCATGAGGATCACTAAGGTCATTAGTCTGATAGTTATATATATAGTAATTAAATTACCTTGATAATCCAGAAGAACAAGTTATTCATGAGAATCATTTAGGTTTTGTACCATGCATCAGTTAACATCCTCAGTGTTCTGGTGGAGGATAAACCATACCGATAGGAATGTCGTGGTTGTTTTACTGGCAGGTTGATGATGCGTTGATGATATTATTCCAAGCACAACACTGAAATTATGTACATCACTATATCATGCATGAAACAGATAATATATAGATGTATAAATATACAAAACATCAGCATTTTCAGAATTTAACCAGTATTATAGATATGTTCACCTCTCACTGGAGGATATAAGTAACTACTCACGCCCTATTGCTACAGACAAGCAAGGAGTATGACCAGGTTTCATTATAACTGAAATTAAAATATAAACCCTAAAACATCTTTCACAAGGAACAACTGAAACACAATCACCTTTATTATCAGTTATGAAAAAAAGGTGACGGCAGTTCAACTATCCGAATGGAAAGATACAACAGAAATGTGGAAGTACAGAGTTTGGACTGAAGTATATGACTGACCGGATCGAGTTGCAACTTCTTTTCTCTTTCTTTTTCTTTTCTCCTTTTCTCTTCTCTTTTTCTCTCTTGAACTTCTCCCTGAACTCCCCTTTGAATCCGACCTTTTTTTGAAGTGAAGATGCATGGCTATTTATAGAGAAGAATGAAACATAAGGTGGAGGGATATTGATGAGTCGCCAATGATGATCGTCCGGACATCATCACCACTGTCCAGACGGTGTGACCTTGCTGGATTTTCC